ACAATAGTCACACAACCTCAACAAGAATAAAAACCCACTGCACCCACAAACGATATATTTATACACACACAAGCATCTCGGATATTCAAATATACACTTAGAGAGCCAAAGGGTATTTAAGGTTCAGGACACCAACGCACAACACACGTAAATGCAAGCACTAACTTTTTGTAAGGAGGGGTCCCGTCCAACAACACAGGGAGTTCCTGCCTCCTTCGCTGAGCCAATTACAACACAGCATTTAGTGATGAAGGTTCCATTAGGAAGTCCCATGTTTCCCTGTGCACTCTGGACTCCCCTCTCACGACAAACTCTGTTTTTTCCTCCCTGTCAATGCCAGGAACCCATTACGGAGCAGTGGTGAGGATGCAACGTAGGGAAACAATGTAAGGATAAACCTAGCCATTGTTCTTCACTCTTGCTACTTGAGAAATGTCCTGTTGTGGGGCTTTATTTCGGGCTTAGCTGTTCTAGAGGACGTGTTTTTAAATTACTCCCTAAATACATAACTCTAAATTTAATTCACTGAAAACCATCTGACCCTTATTTTTCAAGGGTCAAACCAGGGTTTAACATATTTGAGGTCATTGACTATAATTCACAAATAGGTTTTGAGATGTTTTCCGAAAAAAAGTGGCTTGCAACAGTAGCTCAAAATGTCTTTAAATCCAGCAAGAAAGTTGCCATGTCGGCAACACTGACCCCCTCAACGTCTACTTTCAAAGCCAATGAGTGCAGGGACAGAGAAGAAATAAAACAAAAGCTTTCGGCCCGTATTGTTCCTCTCATCCCCACAGTTCCTCTCAGCATTGAACTTAAAACCAACTCAGTGATCAGAACTCAACAAGTAAATATTACATTTCATTTTTGAGACGTTCATTGAGTTCAACTCAAGTTGGAAACACTTCTCAGTGGCATTGTTCTGGCAAAAAGGCAGGAGAGAAATAAGATGTCACATAATAAATATCAACAGTTACAACATAAAGATGAAACGAGATAAAAGCAAAGTTGCAATAAAACTAAAAGAATATGTGACAGCCCACCTGCTCACAAGTGATAAAACGTGTTGTATTTAGTTATATATTCTAGTTGAAGGGGCGATGATCAATAGGAATATATTTGCCCTGTAGCCTGACAAGTATACCTGCCTGACATCATCATACAGACCCATAAAGATGGATCATTAACATTTTGAATACAACAAATCATATTTTTTCTAGGTTCAACAAGGGCTTAACAAGGGGAACGGGAAATTTCCATGGCAGCTACTTTTGGGTTGCTTTGTCTTCATAGTGGTGGTACCTTGGCAAATAGGATGAGGTCCCTGAGCTGTGACCTGTTATGTGACGACACTGAATGACTCAAGTAGGTTTGCCAACAAAACACATCAACTAAACAGATTCTAAAAGAGGGCGTGTGATCTACTCCAGCTCACATTCTTTATACACAAAATGTGCTTCCAGAGCAAAGAAAAGAATCTACCTTGGCAATGACTTTAATGCCAGCTGGCTGCGGTTCAGAAATGGGCGGAATCAGCCACAACAAACTCATGAATTGTCAGGGGGCAAAGTGCGTCTACAAACTCTTCATTTTGCAAGTTAAATCCAATTTACCACTTTCTCTGAATCCATACATTTATAATATTTGACTTACGTGAGTCACGTGGTCCTTAGAAAACGAATATTAAAGAGAAAGCTAGAAGATAAAGTAAATTTACACCGGGTTAAGTCCTAAATGTCTTTGTGTAAGTTGTGTAATCTAATAAAAACAGCTTACTTAGAGAATCTCCTCTCACTTCTACCCAACCCTAAAACGACCACTAAAGTGGCGTTGTTCCATTGAGCCGAGCGTTCTGTGGGAAGCTGTGGTTTGCAGAGCATATGTGCTGCAGGCACAGAGCATAAAACACACCTCCAGTGCGGTGTGAAGTCACCCTTCTGCTGACCGTGATAGGGGGGAACACACCTCCAGCTTTAGGAGACCAACGCGGAGGGACAGAGCTGTGAAAGCACGGCACGGCTGAGGAATAATGTGTCAACAGGGAACGAGATTAGCAGTGCTGTCCGTAGGCGTCCGCTCAGCTAGTGTGTGTGCATATGTGTGTGTGTGTGTGTGTGTGTGTGTGAGGGAGTGCTAGCCTGCTGGCTCCTGACTCTCGTGTATCTGTGTGTGTTCTCAGCGAGGTTTTTTTGGAGTTTAGGGAGTCCCACTCCCTCCCCGAGCACTGCTAAGAAGCTAAAGCTCCTTAGCCCCGGCTCTACTACCTGTTTGATGAAACAAGAAGTAACGTGGAGATAAAGCGATTGCAAATCCAACCTATTCTTGGACTCTAACTAAAGCACACTCGCGAGAAAGTGTTTCATATTCAAGCTTTGTATTATGTTGTGGACTATTTGGTTGAGTAGGAAAATGAGCACCTTTATCCCTTTCAGCCGTCAACCTATAACACACATTTTTGAGCAAACAGACTCCTGCCGCGTGGGCAAACAAAAGAGAAGCCCTACAAAGGAGTCAGTGGATGGGAAAGTCTTGAAAATATGAGCCACATGGGAGCGCCGGGCGCTCGGCCATTCCAGACAGAGACATGCTGGCATCAACTAGCCCCCGCCAACTTTACACACGGACACACGCCGCGCACATTACTGCCCATCTCGCATGTTGAGAAGACAACCTGTGACACGTGCCAGGCACACACCCATCACAGCGAGGCATCTGCAATGTGCTTTGTGTTTCTTTTCTTAGGTGCCGGCTGATGACGAATGCGTCTATAATTACCATCCTGAAAATAACAGCAAACTCCCAAGCAGAGTTTATTCAGTGTGGTGCACGGCGATGGGAGACAGGCAAAGCATGATTTTTCTTTGTGCAGAGGGGAGCGTGCTGTGCTTTGCCGTGAACCAGAGTAGCAATCTTAAAATGCTCACTGGAGTGGCTACAGATTCTGGGTGGGCCCAGTGTGTATGTGTTTGTGTGCGTGTGCGTCCGTGTCTATGCTTTAACACACTTTCCATCCGATTAAGCCGCTAAGCCTCTCCTCTACAGTCCTACCTAAGGCTCGGCCCTTAATGGTCCGACCTCCACTGCAGGACAGAAGTGGACTACTTGACTATTCAGGACATTTGGCCTTAACCCAGAAAGTCATTTTTGTTTTCCCTCTTGTCAGCAATTTGATCAACAATGCTTTGAGCTAAACAGAAATATCAGCATGCTAACACGCTGAAGATGACAATACTAATATGCTAATGTTTCCTAGGTATAAAGTTTAGAATGTTCACCAGCTGAGTTTAGCAGGTCAGCATGCTACCAATTGCTAATTTGCACTAAAGACAAATACCATTTCACAACTGGTAAGATTTGTCTGATCTGATCTGATTATGGCACAAAATAAACAGGAAACCTTATAGTAATAAACAGTTCCCAATAAGGGGGAATGACAGTCTTTCCCAAGTGTTGCCATCTATAAAAGCATTTTTGAGTTTTTTCCGTCTGGACCAAAATTGTTAACAGACTGTGGATCCCTGGAGCCACAATTCAAATAAAAAACTAAATACAATTTGAATGTTGTTCAAACAATGCAAAGTTCAGTTTATTTGAACATTTCAACTAAAATGTTAAAATGACACGCCCCTCCATGTGTTAAAATGCTATTACATTTGGGATTACAAAACCTTCTCAGATCTTCCTCAAAAACCTTAAAGATTGGAGAGCTAAAAAAAGAGGAAGTGCTACTTGTGTTCTTTCCTGATGTTTCATCTGACAAGACCTATTTCCAAACCACACATCATGGCATCCTGAAAGAGAATGAACCTAACGACCAAGAGCTTGTGAGCTGGTGTGAGTCCCCTTTCTGCGCCTTCAAGGAAATCACGCTGAAACACACACACACACACACACACGTATTCAAAGACAAACACATACGGGACTGGACACTAATAGGAGTCAGCCGATCTTCAGGAACAATGTCTGTGTGTGTCAGTATGTGTGCATGAATAACAATGTGCCCATTAACCTGAGCATTGATGGATCTTAATGTCAGTGAATGCAGCACAAAACAAAGCCACACAAACACCCTGTAAACAAGCCCCGTGTAACAGGAACGCTTTGCCTTTCTAACGTTGTGTAGCTGCGGTTAGTCAACCAACCGTGGCCAATGCTCTGTGGCAGGCATGCAGGCAGAGCAATGACCACGACTAACTCCGAATACAGACCCTAAAAGAGCAGAGATGGAGAGAGACACAGAGAGGTTTTGCATTAGAGGGAGTGAGAGGTGGAAACAGAGGGGTAGCAAGCGGAGCAAAGATGCAGAGTGAATGTACGCATACTGCTAAGGAGCACCCATGCAATATCCCTCTAAATGACAACCATCACTTCTCACCTCGATTCGTCGTCTGCTTACTTTGCCTTCTGCAATGTGTATTCAATTACAATACATTTACGTGTCAGGCTTCAGCTGACAGACATAAGTCGGACCAGAAAGGAATTTCACTGAAACCCGGTCCAGCCAACGCAATGTTTCAGAGAACGGATCAATCACTGGAGAGCCGTGAAAGACCAACCGTTAAATTTGAAGAGATAGATATTCCATATGACAGTATGGTGGTGCATACCTGTGCAAATATGTATATGTGTGCCTCACGTCTAGCATCTAATTACTACACAGATGTTTTGTGCGAAAAAAATAAACATCAGCATGCAGAGAAAAAACTGGAGTCATCACGCTGAAATGTATGTAAATGTGTGCTGGTGAAATGTAGATCCAGTTCCAGAAATGACAATTAAAATGAAGAGTAAAGAAAAAATAAACATGGGAAATACAGAATACCGGATGACACGTGAAGAGGAAACAGAATAAAAATAAAGAGGGAATGTGATGAATCAATAACTGATAACATAAAATCATATGAGTCACACGAGAAACCACTGAAAAAGAAAGAATGAGAGCCAAACGCTAAAATAGAAATACTCGTCGAAAGTGCAGACCATATCTATCCTTCCCTTACCTCTGCAGCTGTGTGTGGTATCCTTTGGGACAAAAAACGTAGCAGGAGGGGGGGGCGGATGAAACTTCAGCTTCCACAGCACCACTACAGATCCCCACTTTCCAGCTCTGTATATATTGTCTGCATATCGGTTCTATCAGCCGAGCCCGTCAGTCCACTGAGACAGAAATCCGGTCGCCCTGCGTGGGTATGTGTAAATGTATCCTGGATGGGGATGAATAGTGGCGAGTGAAAGGAGAGTGCTACGCTAGCGGGCAGACAGACTGGCTGAAACAGGGGGAGTAGAGAGCAGACTGAGTAGGATGGAAGAGTTGCTGTTTCCTAACATCGGAGCGGCTGGGCTGGATACACCCACTTTGTGAGCGTGCATCAAATGGGAGTCTCTCAGATGCTCCAAAGAATGCAAAGGGAGCGAGGGAGAAATGCTCCTCATCTGATCTGATGCATGCACATGTGCATGCGAGGCTAGGCACACATGCGCACAAACATAAAGGATCTCATTAACCCCCTTTTACTGACACACACACACACACACACAAACACACTCTGTCGTCTGAACACTGCCTGTGTGAGATGTCGACTGGGACTTTCAGGAAAAATAAGCACAGTAGCAGATGGGGGAGCAAGGCAATAACAGTCTTTGTGGGAAAAACAGCCTTTAACGAGTTTATCTTGATTCAAACAGATGGTCAAGAGCTAAAAAATGGATTAAACTTGTGAATTACTAAAAGATTTTTTTAGCCCTTTCGGCCTCTGATACATCTCAAATGCAACAATCTGAAAGCCGAAAATCCAATACATTTTCAAACCTGTTAAGAGGGCTGAAGTTAAGACTTTGCCCCATTTTTTTTTATGAATTAGACGACAAACAGAAAAGGCCACAACAATAACAAGTATCAGATACAGGTTTAACTTAATTATTAATCCAGATTTCTCCGCATTTGCTGATTTCGTCTTCTTCAAAGCTAAGATTCCCTGCATGCCCCTGTATGAGTTCCTCAAATAACCTTCAGAAATACCTGTTCAAGTATTTTAACAATTCAAGGTAATGTTCAACATTCTGCGGAATGCACAGATTTGCTCTCTTGTTGACAGTTGGATACGACTATCTTGGGTCTCTATTTTTGTTGTACTTAAATGGTCAAATAATGTTTGCCCCAATGTCTGGAAAAAAAGAAGGTACATATTGTATACAGGCGGGTTTGTGGTTGAGAGGTAATTTAAACTTCAGGACATTCTTGGTGTGCACCATTGCCCGTCGCTCAACATGCTTTAATTTTCCCTGCAGTGATCCCCTCCTGGGAGAGAAGATGGGTGGAGGCTGTAGAGGGAGGGGGTCATGTCATGGGCCAGGACTTTGAGCTGCCACACCGCCAACCTCTGCTGCTCCGGGCGTGAGAGCTCTGTGTCTCCTGGGACAAAGCCTGCCTTGATAAAGGCCAACTCCATTGCCTACATGGAGAATGGTCCTCATTACTCCTGCGGGTTAGGGGTTACATTCCTGTTGGGTGGGCCGATATGAGCTGGTATTTCGGAAATATTTGAATTCACAGCAGGTTGCAGTTTATACAAAATCCAGGCGAAACAGGTGGATTTTCTTTAGATTTTGTGTCATCTGAAAAACAGCGAACGATATCCCACAACGGGGCGGCTGTGGATTTCAGTGGGAGTACAATTCAAGTGACCTTGCGCACTGTACAACAATTGTGTTTGCCTCCACTGTGTAAAGTATTAGCCAATCAAAAACCTAGTTAGTTCGGGACACGGGTGACATAATCTGCATTGTTTAGAGAGTATGCAAAAATGATGGTATCAGGAGGTGATGAGGGAAGTGAGATCGGTAATCCCTCTTTAAAATGCATCCCCTGGTTAGGCTTTAGATGGGATGTGAGAGAACATAACACCTCCCCACCGGTGTTAAATCTGTGAACACCCCCTCCTGGTTATTACATGTGTAATTAATTCTACCACTAGGCAAGTGTCCATTAAACTATGAGTGGAGTTTAAAATTATCCCAAGAATGAAGTATGTGCTTCTGGTGAAGAAACACACTGATTTAAAGCCAGAGCAGAACTGGAGATTGCAAAGATGAAACACATGGATGGTGACGCTGACAGCATTTGCTGCAGCTCCATCACTACCACAGGGCTACAGTCCTGACTGCCCCCCTTCCACTACGGAATCAGCATCTCTGCTGCAACACCACTTGATCACCAAGCCAGAAAATGAATAGTGATTCCGGAAGCTGAGGCACAGGTAGCTCATGACCATCGACACATTCTTGTTGCTGACCAAGCAGCCCCCCCTCTGCAGCTGCAGCGGCGGCTCGTCCTGCACAACCCCGAAGACCACCACATGCCAGAAAATGCCTACACCGCCTGCGTGAAAAGGAAACGACACACATTTTTCTTACTTGCTTTGCATTTGCATGCAATTGTTTTGATGAAGAACGCACGCCCGCAACATCACTCTGACGCCTTATGGAAAATCAACACACTTACAACCGAGACACATGAGCCGAAGGCGAGGATTCAATCGACCACGCTTGCGGTCAGCCTTTACAGCTGATTTTAGTTCATCTAATGACGCAGAAAGCTGTAAAAACCGCAGTTGTGTCTTACCTCTATATTCGCGGAGGGAAAGCTTCTGCTGACTGTCAGATGAGGAGATGCTCCGGCGGAGGTGGGAATGATGTTCGACACTTCCACCGCCGTTTACAGCTACAATGTTGCCCCCTGCCGGTTGAAGGTGGATATCGCTCCGGAACGCTGTGATCGGAGGTCAGGTCCTTCTGTTCCGATTGTTATTGTAAATGAAACGTGTTCCCAAAGTCAGTTGAAGAGAGAATGTTGTGTCCACGCGTCTGAGTAATTAAACAACAGACAAATTGTTTTAGGGCTGAGTGGCTTTAACATGAGGCGAAAATCTTTAAAAAAATAAAGGCCAAAAAAACATGGAAACTTCTGGCCTTTCCTTGTGAATCCATTAAACTTTTTTCCAAAGCAATACAGACCTAATCTAGAACAATCTATTTAAATGGACCTGGGGATCCAACGGTTATCTGGGCGCATGTGATAAAGAAAGGCAGACTCCATGTTTATATAATACATAGTAAATCTATGTGGAGGTTCAAACCTAAACTATGCTGAGTTCTTAGTAACAGTATCACTGGTTAGTTTTGTTACGCTTTTAAATACATTGGAGTACTACCTTTCAATCCAAATTGCCGAGCACATGACCCGTTCTGTTTCCTGTTAAGCCCGGATGGAAGAAGTAACTTTTGTTTTCATTTATTTAAGTTCGGAAAACACATAAAAAGGGGACGTTCAAGTTAAAGTCCTGCATGAAATGATTTTACAACTTTTAATTTTTTTTTGTTGAATTTCACTTTCCAATAAATATTGCCTTACGTATGTCTTTTAATTAAGGAAGAATCGTTCTTTTTCAATCTAATTTGAAGCACCTTGATAAAGGACTACAAAAATGGCTTCGAAACGAGGCCATGTGGGCCTAAAATAGTTAGGTGACTTAATCAAAGCCTGTGGCCTGAAATTTCTGCTGATAGAATTTTAGAAACGTATTTGATAATTTAAAGGATTTTTTTATGCCTCCAAAAATACGTTTAATTGCAAGGCTGATCATTATTTGGACATTTCTTTGCGATGTTTTGATTTCGTGTCGGCGCTTCGCGGGCAGAACAGATGACTGCGGGTCTTCCGGTTTTCCGTCAGAAAAAAGCGCCAACTTCTGCTGCGCCGTCCGGCTGGCAAACATTATTGTTGACTGGATACTCTGGGAAATACATTAAGACTTCGCGCTGGATCGACTTGTTCAAGTAAGAGTGTACACGCGTCACGGGGGGGGGGGGGTTTCGTAGCTTGTGTTTTTGGACTGTAAAAAAAAAAGAAGAAAGATTACGTGCTGCCGTTTTTACAACCACGCCGCTCTGACCCACTTTCGTCTCCGCGCTGCGCGATAAACCGCAGCTCGTTCCTGACGTCAGTTGCCGGTGTAAACGGCTCTATTTCAGATTGAACGTGGCTTTGCTAACGAGAAAGCCACCAGCACGTCACCGCAGACTAACGCGAACACCTTATATAACTCGTTGTTCACTCGATTGAAGCGGACACGTCTCTAGTTCCCGCTAGCTAACGCTAGTGCGGTTAGCTAGCGTCAGTCGACAGGTCGTTGACCGTATTCAAATAACGTTACAACCAAACGCATCGCGTAGTTTAGGTTTCGTTATCGTTGAACTCCGATGGCGCCCATTTGACGTTACGCCGCGTTTCTCTCCTCTCGCCAGTGAGGTGCGCTGTTGCGTCTCCGTGAAGACCAGCATCGGCCCGAGGGGACGTTTCGCGGGAGAAAGATGCCCGTCCTGCAGGGGGAACACGTCGCGGCGGCGGGGAGCCCCGTCAAGAAGAGCAAACTCTCTCTCAAGTACCACCAGAAGAAGGAAACCAAGCGGGTTTTGGACTTCTCTGAACCTCAAGCAGATGAGCCCAAAGCAGTTGAGCAAGTGGAGCCTGAGGCCAGGTGGGTAATCTGTGTTGTGTGGTCGAAGGTCAGAACACCTTTGTTGAGGCGAAGCTGGGTCAGACTCTCTGCTGCTCTTTGCCCAAAACATGCCAGAGAGTCATTCAAACACATTCACCCCAACATTTTAATCGTAAACAAGTCCTTTAACCCTGTAACACCCCTTGTTGTAAAATTACAACGTTACATTTAACCATCCTTAAAAACAATGTTATTTTTTATGTTTACTACATTTACATAGTCATTCGGTCCTATTGTTCAGTCTCACAATGCTATTGGATTATACATTTGTTTATAAATCCCGCCTTATGGCCATGAACTCACAACATCTCAAGGTTTCCTTCGAACAACATCTCTTTGTTTCAAAGGACTGGATTCATCACATTCAAGTAAGTAAAATGTCTTTTATATATTTTTTGGTTATTATAATGTCTAGAGCATGTACATATGTAGTTATTGTGTAATAAATTCATCAAATTTCATTTAGAGCTTGTTATATACTTGTTGCACTTATACAACACTGGGTGAGTGAGGTAGTCAAAATAGCAGGCTTGTTGCAGTGGGCTCAAACAGGTTGTATTCCCTCCACTACACCACTGCCTGAAAGAGTATTTTCTTATACATGGACAGTATACCTGTACATTCTACTCTTTTGTTGTGTTCTGGTCACATTTGACTGATTTTAAAAGTTGTATCTCTGAAAAGTAGTTCATTTGATCAGACTGACCTAAAATTCCAGAGGATATCAACAGACCATTCAGTTCTGGGAAAGGTGAACATGTTCCTGAATGTGGGGTGTTAATGTAAGTGGGGGTATGCATGTTTTCCTTTTAGTATGATAATTAGAGCGCATAACAAGCAGTATTGTTTGACTAAATGGCTGGTGATTGGGATGCATGTTTCATTTAGCATGATAAGTAGACAGCATAGGCTATGCCATTTACATTTAGGACATTTAGCAGACAGCAACAGGTTAGAAAGAAACTTACAATAAACAGACAGTATTGGAAAACATTTCTACCCTGAGCACTTGGTCCACCAACTTATTACTTCAGGTTATGTACTACAATATAAAAAGCAGCATATTTATACATGTTAATTAATTGTTTTATTTTCAGAATGCCACCAGCAAGGAGAGCGTTGCGATACAGTGTGCAGGATGTGATTGATTCCATCCAAAATGGTGACAGGGAATTTGAGATGGACCTCAATGACACTGATGAAGACTCAGATGAAGATGTCTGTCAACAAGTGGACAAAGAAAACCAACCACCCATGGACTGTCCAGCTGATAATTACGTGGACATCGAGCCACAAACAAACAAACACACCATGCCCCCTGACATGTATCGCTGGCTGAAAAAAGATTTCATCAGTCCCAACACTGATCTTTCTGGTCTGGATATCACAGGAGATGACATTTCCCTCCACACACCATGGGAATACTTCAAGAAGTTTGTGTCCAAAGACATGATTGAGGCTCTGACACAAAACACAAATGAGTACAGCTTTCAGACGGAAAATCTGTAAACACCACTGTACAGGAAATTGAAAAAATGTTTGGCATGTACCTGAAGATGGGCCTAGTACAAATGGCTGGAACCCGTAACTATTGGGAGACAGAGACACGGTGCTCCCCTGTTGCTGATGTGATGCCACGCAACAGATTCCAATCCCTGTTGACATCATTACATTCAACATGACAGTATCTGAGACGGAAAAGAAAGACAAACTATGGCTTGATTAATTCAGAGAGAAATGCCTGCAGGTGGTACCAGAAGAGCACAACTCTGTGGATGAGATGATGATTCCTTTCAAGGGGAGGTTCAGCAGCATTAAGCAATATATGCGAGGCAAGCCAAACCCATGGGGATTCAAAGTGTTGGTGAGAACTGGAATCTCTGGCATGATGTGTGACTTCGATGTCTACCAAGGCAGTGTCTACCAAGCCAAACCTGAACTTGGATTGTCAGATGATGTTGTGATGAAACTTGCTTCCACACTTCAAGAAAGTCAGAACTACAAAATCTATGTAGACAACTACTTCACCTGTGTTCCATTATTAGTAAAGCTCCTTGAACGGGGAATTCATTATGTGGGACCAGCCAGGCAGGTGCGCTTACCCAACTGTAACCTTGAAGACGAGAAGAGTTTAAAGAAAAAGGGGAGTGGAAGCCATGATGTCAGAGTGGAGGGGAATCACAACATCTGTGCTGTCAAATGGTATGACAACAGGGCTGTCACACTTGTGTCCTCGTTTGCTGGACCTGAACCTGTGCAGAAGATTCAACGCTGGGACAAAGTCAACAGAGCCTACAAGTTGAGAGGCCTTACATTTGTTGGTGCCTACAACAAGTACATGGGAGGTGTGGATTTGTTGGGACTCATTTACAGCCAAATAGAAGTTCCCCATCGAATCCCATCGCTGGTACATGTACATCTTTTGGCACACCATCATCCTCGCTGTGGTCAATGCCTGGCTCCTCTACAAGCGGGACTGCAAAGCTCTCAAGATGTCTAACAAAGAGACAATGAACAGGATACGGTTTCAGGCACAGCTAGCATCCTCTCTCATCCTAGTCAACACAACACATCAAACTCCAAAGAAAGGACGACCATCTCCAGGCAAAGGGAGCCCAGCAACACAGACAGTGACATCAAGTAGCCCTCTGGAAGAGACCATCCAAGAGATGTGCTCAACTCCCATTGGATGTACGCAAGGACCTAGTTGCACATTTCCCACGGAAGACAAGGAGAGGACGCTGCAGACACTGCAATAAAGGATACACCAACGCGCAATGCAGCAAGTGTGATGTTTGCCTTTGCTTTTCACAGGACAAGAACTGTTTTTGGGACTTTCACAACCAATGAAAGTCAGTCATGAAAAGAAAAAAAGGAATTAAGAAGTTGCTAGAAAAAGCTACAGATTTATCTGTTTTAATATTTTATTTTTAATAAATGACTTAAAAAAAATATAACTAACGTGTGATGTATGTATGTGTATATATAATTTTATGGGGCTAAGTAAGCAATCAAACCTGCAAATGCACCCTTGGTTGTTCTGAATTGTTCAGACAATCTGAGTACAAATACAGAAATTCTGCTCTCAACTAAGCCCAATATTACAACATTTCTCTAAAAACATACATGAACATTTTTTGTAAAACTTTTTAATTCCTGCATTAAAGGCCTCCTACAACAACATCTGAAAGGTAAACTTTTTTTTAGGTTTTTCTATGTTTGGGTCTTTGTTTTTCAAATGAGAAATCAACAACGTGGCTCAGTTTAGAAAGCTACTTAGTTTAAGAAAACTGTAAATAAAAAATAGCCTATTATCCATGTTGGCTGTTTGGTTATGTACATCAAATAATGTGCAGCGGACCATAACAACAATTAAACTGTCATTAGCAAGCTATGCTGTTTTTGTTTTAATTTGAAACCGTTGTCTTTGCTGATCAGCGGCTGCGATCAGGTTGTCCCCGGTCCTTCTCCGTGTCCTGCCTCACCTGGTCCCCTCCTGTCACACGAGAAGAGGGAGCGCTTGGTGCCATTTGTGGGTTTCAACAACTTGGGCAACACCTGCTATCTGAACTGTATCTTACAGGTGGGTCCTTGTCACTGCAGACAAGGTGTATATTTATACACGTCATTTGTTGTTTAGCAGCTGATACTTGTGTGTCTCTTCCCAGATGGCAGCAGGGTAAACTGGTTGTGGCTGATTTTGTCTTGATATCATTTTAGCTCTTCGTAGGCTTCTCTTCTCACTGATATCACTGATGCTTTGTAGATGGGTACCAGTGATGATCTGGATGCTTTTAATCACCAGCTATCGACCCCTCCTGTCCTCAGCCGTGCACCACATAGCTGTTTCTAGTTGGGATAATATCAACATCTAATAACACCTGTTATGTCCCTGCAGACAATACAACAAAGCAATGCCATAGTTTCAGTTCTTGTGGTGTTTGTATACAAAACAAACTGTGCGTTCCATCAGACAAATATCCTAATTTGTCTTCCTTTTTCTGCAGGTGCTGTACTACTGCCCAGGGCTCCGACAAGGAATAAAGAAACTGTACAACCTGTCTAAAAATGACTTGCCAAAGGAGGAAACTGACAAAAGAGATGAGGTTAGTGAAATTCAATTTTTTTTATGCATGTAACGATTGCTTTCAAATTTGATCTATTTAATCAACTTTACTAATTCAAGATGATATTTTTAAGGCTGTTTTACAATATTGTGCCGTCAAAGACATTTGATTGTGTCATTGTGTCCTGACCTGTATCGGACCTTTCTGATTTACTGGATATAAAGCCCCAACTGAAACCATCTTGATTCATTCTTTTGTTTTTATTTGACCTCCCCGTAGTCAGAAGTCATCGATGAGGCTGTGCCTGCTCAAATGGAGCTCCTTGGGAGCTTCAACAGTCTCATAACATCAGTGGAGCAGCTGCAGTCCAGCTTCCTGTTAAACCCTGACAGCTTCAGTGAAGGAGAACTTGCTACACCTCCTCGAAAAGTACTCCACACGCTCAGGTAATGATTTGATCCAAAAAGGATGCAATCCTTTGTCTGTTTGGAAACCTATTTAAATACATTGTTCTTATTCCACATGTATCTAAAATCCCCAAAGAGTAGCAGCACAAACGTTATACTTTTAAGTATGCTTAACCTGTCCATCCATGGCTGCTCTGTGTGGGTTTCAGGCAGCTCAACCCCATGTATGAAGGCTATCTTCAGCATGATGCCCAAGAGGTGCTGCAATGCATCCTGGGATATATCCAAGAGGCTTGTGAGACCATCAGGAAGGAGCGAGAGGTGGAGAGGGATGCCGAACAGCCAGAGGTCCATCTGGGATCCAGCAGCACTGCATCAGAATCCAAAACCCCCTCTGAAGACGACGGCCAACTCAGCGGCAAGAGAAAGAGTGACACCGAGGTGGGAAATGCCAAAAAGAAGCCCAAATCTGTCAAGCAGAAGAAATCTGATGCAGAGGATTGTAAACCCTCCACTCGCTCAAAAAGGAAGTCCTCCAGTGACATCACGGTAAACGGCTGTGGGGACAAAGAGGCAGAGGAAGAAAAGGGGAAGAAGCTCAACAGGGCGGCGGAACAGGTCAGTGACTGCGAGGGGAAAGATGAAAAAGCCCCCAAAGAAAAGAAGAAGAGGTCCAGGCTGAGCTGGCTGAGGCCTTCTGGGAAACAACCAAGTATTTTCTCAAAGTTCCTCAGCGTGGGAAAGATCAGCACCGTGAAGAACCAGAACAAACCGGAACAGGAGAAGGAGCTGAGTCCCGAACAGAAGACCAGTGAAGAGAGATCACCTGAAGAAAATGCTGATGTGAAGGAGGCAGCAAAACATGACGGTATGACATTATTACTGCAAGGGGAGTTGGACCGTGATTTAATATGAGGGATCAGTTTTACAGGTCATCATTTGATAAAATAAGTGATACGCTGATTGGTAACCTCAGGTCGATATAGACGGTCAGTGATTTTTAAAGATTTGGTTACCTCTTGTTTTTGTTGGAACAAATTGTGCAAATCTTATTTAGTCAAGTTATTCTATTATAGTTATCGATGAGGCTCGATGCACTCAAACATTCAGAGTAGACGGTCAAATGACGAGACTGTCCCCTGAATCTAACCTCAGTGAACCAACCCAGCTGTTTGTGTTCTGCCCAGAGGGGCTGGACCTGATGGAGCACTTGTTCCAGGGACAGCTGCTGCTGAGGACACGCTGTCTGGAGTGCGAGAGCTTCACCGAAAGGAGAGAAGATTTCCAGGACATCAGTGTGCCGGTACTCGACGAGGAGCCCAGCAGCCCGGACGACCTCTCGGAGGGTAAACGCCGCCACTTCTGACCGCTATCAGTGCTGCAAGTCTTTATTGAAACACAACCGTCTCCCCAAAAAGAACAATGCAGAGTGAATAAACAATTATGACCTCCTCTCTATTCCCAGTGTCCCCGGATCCCAAACCAGAGCTGAAGACCCTGAAGTGGGCCATCGCTCAGTTTGCTTCGGTGGAGCGCATCGTCGGTGAGGACAAGTACTTCTGTGAGACGTGTCACCATTACACGGAGGCGGAGAGAAGTCTGCTGTTTGACAAAACTCCCGAAGTCATCACCATCCACCTGAAGCGCTTCTCTGCCAACAGTTTAGAGTGAGTTGATTCTTTCCAATCGGTTTCCTTCAGTATTTTCTACCAAAGAATTGCAGAATAATTATACTGGGGCTGCAACCGTTCATCAAAGTGGACACAATTCTGACAGACGGCGACTTACTATATGAAGTAATGGCTATTTTTAGTTTTAATGGTGTTTTCATTGACAGAAAGTAAACATGGCACCAAGCTGTTGCAACGCAGTTTGGTGCAAAAGATCTATCACATAATGTGTGAAATCACATTAGATGATTAGATGCCGTTAATTTAAAATCAATCCTTCATTCTTCCACATCTAAGACCCCAAATATATCTGATCAAATATAACGATCATAATATTATTCAACCTTATTTTGTATTTTTCAAATCTTAAAATGCCTACAGAAAAAGAGCAACACCTCTAAACAAGGAAAAGAAAGTTGGTTTAGTGTGATTCATTATTTTCCATGTTTCGTGGAACATTTCTGCTCTGTACATTGAAGTTTCAACCTTCATGGCTTCCCCGTTGTGCTCAGAGTGCAGAATTAAATGCCTTTTGATTGCATCTGTTTAATTTAAATAGTTTATTAAGGACAGTTTAAACAAGACGTCTTCTATCTTGTCTTCATATCCACGGAGGTGGAGTCCTTCAGGCAGACAGAGTCGATGGCCTCAGCGGCGCTGAGTCCTCGTGTGTTCTCATTCAAGGCTGACGACAAACTCATTTATGTTCATTTCAGCTCCTTCATCATTCATTCAGCAGGAACACGGTGCTTTATGCTGACACGGTGCCGCTGCTTTAGTAGACGTGGGCTGTTTATGATGCACAACGCCGCGGCATATTATACACGAACACGTTTATGAACTACTACACATACTTTAAAATGACATTTTGAATGCATACTAATATACAGCAAAGTGCGGCCCAATGACAGGTCTCTGCTTCTTTGACATACCGTACTTTTTGTTATTTGCATGTTGTGCTACACTGAATGTTTTTCAGTTAAAGGTTTTCCTGCAATACAAAGCATCCCTATTGAACACTTACTGTAAACTAGTGGCGCCTGGAATTAAGTTTGAGCTCCATCGTCTTGAGTCGTATCTGCTACAGACTCCTGCCAGACACTCACTCGTCCCGCCGCTTCTTCTCCTTGCAGCTCGGACCCGTACGCCGGCCTGTCCAAAGTGAACACGCCCCTGCAGACCCCTTTGACCTTGTCTCTGGAGGACTGGTGCACTCAGTCTTCGTCCGCCAAGGCTCAACGCTATCAGCTGTTTGCCGTAGTCATGCACAGCGGCGTCACCATCAGCAGCGGCCACTACACCGCCTACGTCCGTGCGTCCGGCCTGATGGATGAAAAGCCCGGGCTGTGCGACCGCAAAGAAACGCAGGAGGAGGAAAATAAAGAGGGGGTCCAAGTGAAGGAGGAGCCACCGGACTACGACGACGGAGAAGTGTCCTTCAGCCTGAGCACTAGGAGGCTGAGAAGTGGAAGCTTGGGGAGCAGCAAAGTGGGAGGGAAGAAGCTGTCGGAGGGGGGAGTCGGACTCTTGGGAGGCCAGAGGAGTCGGCCTAGCTCCCTGACTGAGGGATCCAAGCGGAAGAAGCCCGCTAGGGGCCCTCGCAGTGAAGCAGGAGTTAAGAAGGAAGCAGGACTTAAGAAGGAAACCGGAGGAGAGGAGGACGCGCCCAAAGACACACTCAAGGACACGGTCAAGGACGCGCCCAAGGACACACTCAAGGACACGGTCAAGGACGCGCCCAAGGACACACTCAAGGACACGGTCAAGGACGCGCCCAAGGACACACTCAAGGACACGGTCATGGACGCGCCCAAGGACACGCAGGGTTCGAACAACCTCCTGGAGTACGAGGGCAAATGGCTGCTGTTTGATGACTCTGAGGTGCGTTTGTTCGAGGAGGAGGATTTCCTGCGAGCCTGCTCCCCTGAGACTTTGTCCTCGTCCACGCCGTACCTGCTGTTCTACCGAAGGATGCCCGAAGCACAACTGTAGCGTGGACGCAAAGCTCCCGGCAGACTCGGGATGGACTATTTTTTTTTTTTTTTAAATAATGCAAACTGGGTCAAAAATACTTTGGGTGTCATTAGCACGTGAGCTCCCCTCAGGTGTGTTTGAGAACTATTCAGTGAAAAGGGAATTTACTTTTCTATGTGCTTTTCTGATCCGTCATTCATTTTGTTTTGCTCTCTATTACTTGCTGGTTGTTGTTTTTTTTACTAATTAGAAAAGCACTTATTTTTTTTAACACATTCTATGATGGAAAATGGATAATAACTTTCTATGCTTTTTTTTTTATTATTCTAAAATGAATTTGTGTTCAAGAGCCGTAGATAGCTTTTCTATTTCAAAGCAATACAGACTCTGCCCCATAAGAGAAAGGGGCAATATGTGGATGTTTGTGACTTTGTTATGAAGAAAGCAACTCCCAGAAACCTTCTCTTTTGCACTGATACCTTTTTAGTACATCGGACTTTCACACTGGAATATTTTTGCATTAAAAACATTCCATGTTTATCTAAATATATGCCAAGTGTATCCATATGTTTGGTACTGTTAATACGCAAATAATTATTGCAGGTGTTGAGTGCATTAGTAGCTGTTTCAGGATGTAAATTGAGAGTAAAGTTATTTAGTTAGGATATTAAAAGAGGATCAATTAAGACGTTATTTTAACGCAACAATTAAACAGATTTGTGACCGAAGTAAATTAACTTCTTACATACTCAAATTCTATAAATGTCAGACTGGTTTAAGACTGCTCAGTCAATCACTATCAGCTGCACCATGAAAATATAAACTTGGCACAAAATTATTTTGACCACAGAATTCATTTTGTATTCCTTAGTATTGCATTAAAGTATTCAGTAACGGTGACATTGTCTCAGGTCCAACAATAATGGTTATTTGTCCAATCATGGTTTCAGGGATCAAAGCCTGGTGATTAATTATGACACACACACACGTACGTAACTAAATGAGTTAAACTGTAACTCATTCCATCTGTTATTGTGTTTAATTCTAAAGCAATAAAGTTTTTACCTTCATCCAGCAATAGTCCTTCACATTCAACATAAAATAAAACTACGACAAATAGAACATTAAAATATTTATTTAGTAAAATATTTAAAATAAACAACATAGAATAATAGAAGGATGTAGTGCCTAACTTTAAAAACATTTCAATAAAGTATACGAAAGTATCATGATAAATAATGGTACCATTTTTTCCACCCCGAATTGAATTAAATAAACTTCTCTTGCAAAACGCATTGCTACACCATAATAGAAAAGTGCACACATGAAATTTAATAGAGATTTTTGACATAACATCATTGGACACCTTGACTTAAAATCACACCTCTGCACACTTGTCAAAAACAAGCAGTATTTTTTGGCACTTCTATGAACCAATGAACGGATCTGAGTTCATTAGTTTTCCTCCAGCAGGTTGTGTTGGTTTTGAAAGTGGAAGCTAACATTAGCACATTTGTAGAAATAGCATAAGGACATTAAAGACTTGTCGACAAATAGCCAGCAAAGGAACTTTGTGTCAAAGCATCTCTTCAATCCGTTTAAATGCCTCTGACTGTAACCGTTTGTATGTAAACAAAGTAAGACACTGGAATGACGTACCGAGCTGCAACACGTTTAGCCTTTCCTTTGACATAATATTGGAAAAACTGACCAACATTCAAAAAACTCCTATTTACAATCAAGAATAAATTAATATTGCAATTTGTGGTGTGAGTTTGTGTATGTGGGAGTTTGCGCCATTTGCTCTTCTTTATCTTCAAATGTCAAACCTGCGAAGACTCATTCTGCTGAAGGAATCTCTGGAAACAAGAGGAAAGAAAACGTTTACATCAAACAGGGAAGTGATTCGGGGGCATTAATTGGACTTCGAGACCAACAATTTTAGCAACATGTAACTGATATCACTCTGTAAATCTGCTGGTTCCATTAATACAAAACGCAATAGGGCTTGTGAGAATAGCAACATTGTAAAGTTGGAAGTACTAAAATGTCCTTTCGAAATAACACATTAACACAGGAGAAAAAGGAGAAAATGTGAAAGTCCCGAGCTACCTGGTCAAGCTGTCCGTTTGCTGCATGAGTGTTGAAGAAGCAAAGACTCACGTAAGTTCACATCCAAAACACACCGCAGGAATCCATAGGCTGAAACTATGACTAAATGTCATAGATCTAAAGAAGTCATTGTTCTAACCCGTTACATCAGTGAAAGACTAACCTATATTTATTATACATCTGATTGTAAAATAGCAGTTTGATAATATATTCTAGCATGTCAGAAATATGTATAAGGAAAAAAAAAACTCAAGAAAAAGTATGAAAAAGCCATAGTGTAGTATGTCGAAAAAGTGAAAGAAAGTCTGTATAACATGTTGAAACAGTATGTTGCAAAATATGCCATGAACCGTAACATAAGTTGCACTCCGCATGGACAGAACGTGAGCAACAATCTCTCTGGCTGGTGGTGGACAGCGAAGAGAAGGTTAAAGCATATAAATGTTGTGCACACACACACACACACACACACTACCGTGGCATCCCTGAGAGGGACCTTGGCGTGACGCTACCATTCAGCAGCCACACATGGGGCTCCGGGGCAAAGCGACAAGGAGAGAGGGAACGTGGGCGAAGGGCCTCATCGCAGCTAAGTGGACCCCCCCTCCTGTGTGTGTGTGTGTGTGTGTGTGTGTGTGTGTCTGTCATCGGCAGCCACGCGCAGCGCTACCTGTGAGAGTTGACCTGGAGTACAGGTTTATAAAGCTGCGGGATCTTTCTGTTGATGAGCGGCTGAAGCGCCTCCTTCAGCCGGTGGTAGTTCCTCTCCAGCTCCCTCTGGTACTCCTTCTGGTCCGGGCCGATCAGGCTCTTGTTCTTACGCAGGGCGTCTTCGCACCTTCGGCACAGAGAGACGGCCGGCGTTTGAATTCTGTACCACACTTTGTTTTGCTACTGCAGGTGGAGAATCTTTGCGCTGTTTTTTTTTTGTAGTTAAATGTTCACTTTTCAGTTCTCAAATCGGACATTATGAAAAACGAGAGCTCTTTCACGCAGAAATAAAAACATTCCATCATCAACAGCAGCTTTTTGAACTAACCAAATCATTGTTTTTCTTTTCGTAAATGATACTTTTTTCATTTTTTTGGACGTTCGGATGGCAGAACTTAAGGTTTTCTTGTATCCATCATCTACCTCTTTGTGAAGTCTTTGAAGCAGAGCCGCAGCTTATTGTGGTGTCGGTACAGCTTGGGGTCACTGGGAATATCTGACAGGAACACCTGAGCCACCTCCAGAGGACCCTGAGGGGAGAAAAAAAAACGTTGTGACTTTTCTTCTACAGCTTTACTTATTCTCTTAAAATCCTTGAACAATGCAGACTAAAACCTTACCTGGTTGACGGTTGTGCCCACTGACCCCTGCAGGACCATCTGTAGCATCTTAGCATCGGCGGGGTCCTGGTGGGTGGCAAAGGCCAGCTCCTGGGTCTTCTTCTGCATGTCTTCTATTGCCACCTCGATGGGTGTGGATATAACCTGGAAGGAGACAAAGCGGATCCTTCGGTCGGCCAGTCGGGATGAAATGAAAAGCTCCTGCGGGCCGGTGGCTCTCTGCGGGTCCACCCACCTCCTCCTTGTGGATGATGTTGATGCGGGTCTTGATGTAGGGGAAGGCGTGGGAGGTGGTGAGGATGGTCTTGCGCTTGAACTGCTCGTGCAGGTCGCCGTGGGCTCGCCCGTCCAGGGTGAAGGGCGTGCAGTAGACAAAGCGGCGCAAGTTGTAGTTCTTGTCGAAGTAGGTGATGCGGTCCTTCATCTCGTACGTGTCGAAGTACGGCTCCACGTACGTGATCTGGATGCACGCCTGCACAAACAACAATGGACACGTTTTTCGGTTGTTTTTTCAGATAGAAGACGGACGCCCAGACGTTTTGCTGCTAAAACCTCCACAGGTGGGAATATACAACCTGCCCAGCACTGACCTTGTTAGGGTCCAACTTGCACTTGTCCACGGGGTTAGAGTCCTTAATGACTTCTACTTGGTCCTCTCCAAATCGTTCTCCATAGAAACCCTGAGAAGAAATGCATCACAGAACCTCCTCAGTTATTAGGCACTCTGAGCACATTCCAGGAGAACCCAGAGGCGTCACAGTGGAATTTACCTCCAGCCTGTGAGAAATCTCCGCCAGCTTGGTGATGGCCGGCTCTTTGTACACAAACTCCTGCTCGTCCAAGTCACCAAACTTTGAACCGTAAATTCCAATTCTGAAGTACGTACCAAACATCCTCTTTCCGTCCTGCGAGCCGGGGCAGATAAATATTAGTACAGAGCAGGAACATGAATTCAATTATTTATAAGAAGCCTTTATAAAACCACGTGTCACAAGCAGTATAACAGTCCGAGTGTACAAACAAAGGTCTTGCAGCTGAAACCACTTTTTTTGATTTCTGTGGATCTGAAGATATTGACAAATGTAGCTGAATGTGTGACACATGCCTTATTGCCTTATTGCAAAACATCCACAGGAAAACAAACACAGCACAGTATTCATGTCATGAACAATTACTGCTATGAAATTCAAGTCAACTCTAAGTTGATGTGGCTCAGCTTGACCGTACATATGTTCTGTGAATGTTTCCTCTGCTTTGAGAAAAACAAAGTTAACGCCATTTTATAAATATGCCACAGGATTCATGAGAGAAAACCAGCGAAACCAACAATGATCCCGAGCACTTCTAATGGGTGAATAAAGTCAACCATTTCCCATAAAATAGACATTTCCATCAAATCCAGAAACTGAATTTTGTTCCCCTCAGACATCTGGAAAGCAATTTTGGCTTTATGTTCATTCAAGCCAGAAAACACAAATGTACTGGTGGGAGTGAATGAGTGTGTACGCGTGTGTGTGTGTGTGTGTGTGTGTGTGTTTGTGTTTAACATGAGAGAGGGAGGAGCTGCTGACAGGTTTCGCAGCTTAGTTCGTCACTGCGTAGATCATTTAATAAACCCCCAAATCTTAAAAATCTGGTATTCTTTACCGCAACTTCTGTTTCAAAAATAAATTGAAGCACATCTGGCCCTAAAAAGGAACTTACCACAAGACACAATTAAGTAAAGTGGGAAGGAAGGGTCGGCAACCAGGGAAATCAAAAAGGAGAAAACAGAACAAATTTTAATGAGGGTCGAGTCACTCAAGAGAATTTAAAAAACAACTTAAACTAAAACACAATAGATAAATATCTCCATTGATTCTTAAAAATAACATAACAGTAGTTGTGGAGCCAAACCATGCACAGGCAAACAATTATGACAAATAAAAGAAAAACAGAGTGAGAAAAAATAGATCCACAACTGTCAGAAACACAACATGCACCCTCAGTGCATTTCCAAAGGGAGCTCAGAGCGCTCTGTCCACTTCATGCAACAGACCATACGAACTCAGAGGTTAATACGGTTAACAAAAGAACAGGATGGATGAAAAATATCAGGGGTCGATTTAGTTTGAAACTAATAAAAGAAAGGGCGAGAATAAAAAACTAATCAAAATAAAAAAGGGATAAATCAAGCAATCCTGAGACTCCTGTGAGTTGAACCCTTTTGGCAGAAAGAAAAAAAACCCGGACTGCCTCTGGAAGTTGCTTTGACCCAATGCAGGTCTGCAACAGCTTGTTTTTACAAAAGGCTCATTTAACGGCGTGTGGAGACAGTGACCAACGGCCTTCGCCTAAAAACAGCTCACTGAAATCGAGCCCCGTGGTTGGAGAGGAGGTGAAATGAAGTGTGACGGCGTCAGTCGATGAGTGTGTGTGCTGACTGATGCACCGGCGGGGCAGACGGGAAATGAAGAC